GCCATCCCCCCCGAGCCGCGGCGCCGCTGGGTAATATCCGACCGCGCGCCGCTGAGGCGATCGGTCCTTGGTAAGTTGGTGGAGATTCAAGCGGACTTCGGCACGCGCTGCATTGCCCCGCGGACGCTATGTCGTTGCTTGGGCGGGTGCTATGCCAACTCGACCTGCCAGCGGCTGCCCGCCTGCCTCCTGAGAAGGCCCGCGCACGCAAGTTCAGCGACCATGCCGCCGCGGCCTTCATCATCGCGCCCAAAAGTGAGCGTGATCCGCATCGGCCTCTGATCTCTAACCATGTTTTGGCGTCTCAGACCTTCGAGTACACTGCGGTCAGCCCACGGGCCATGTTTGGCATTATCTATGCATTCGCCTCGAGTTGCGTTGGAACGTTGCATAATCTTTCTTAGAGATGGCTCTCTTGGCTCGCGATCAATGGATGTTTTCGGACCCCGGGCACCCGGCTACGTCGCTACAGTTGGCGCGCTCTTTTGCTCGCGTGGTTTGGCGCGACGATGTTGCCATTGCCGAGCGCCCCTTGCGCAGTGGCCCGATGGCCGGGGACTTCTCCGCACTCATCAGCATTCAGTTGGTTTATCTTCTGCAAACGAGTTCTTGGCTCGGCCCACTGAAATGCAGCGGTCGGCAGCAGAGAGACGTCGGCGAGATATTCAGACCAGTCTCGGTGACCAGCGGCTTTTCTAGCGTCGCGCCTGAATGGGTTGTCAACTGAAAGCAGGCTTGCGCAAGATGAAGATTCGGTCTCCGACAAGCAGGGCCCCCTTTCTTCTTTGCGTCATTATTGATGATGGCGCGATTGTGTCTGGCGCCTTTGAGATGCATCGAACGAGGGCCCAGCGTCGGGCCCCTGCGTTAATGGCGAAGCCTCGAGAAGCTCTTGCATCCAAGCACTTCTGCACGGTTTGTCCCGCCGCGTGAGCGGCGCGACTTGTGGCCTCCTGCTACGCTGGATGTCCGACGTGTTCTGCGGCCCGTTCTGCCTGCGGCCCCTTGCGCCGATGAATTGCATTATGTTGCCCTGGCAAGCGCATGACAGGGGGGCGCAACTTCTGTCTAATGATATTCGCTGGCTGCTAGATTCCCCCCGTCAATAGCGAGCTCGGCTGACGCACTGCAGGTAATCATGCCGAAGGGATCCAATCCGTCCGACTCGGACCCTGGAGGCTGCTTGCGCAAGGCGTCGAACCTGCGCTCGCTGGGCTTCCGCGACGCAGATGCGATGACCGCGGCGTCCTTTTTTGTTTTTCGCTCAAGAAGATCGCGCGCGGAGTGGTACCATGGACTCAGCGAGGCTTGGTGGCCGAGAGTTTCTTGGTCAAGCGCTTCTTCCTGACTGACATTATTAAGCTTGGTGTGGCTGCTCGCGCGCACAGCTCTATGAAGATGGCGGCGGAGTGGGGGCCTATGCTGTTCTCGCTCGACGTGGCTCAGGCTCTCCCATCGCTTGCTCAGGGGTGCATGTTTGATGTGCTACGCCGACTCCAGCTACGCGAGCCCCTCCACGTCTTTCTGGAGGTGTAGTATCTGCCCATGCTCGGTTACGCGATGGCGCACTTTCAGCTGGAGCCTGGATTTGCCACTTCATGTGGCATTGCGCAGGGATGCCCGACGCCGGGGTCTCTTGGCGATTGCTGCAACACCTTTTGCACGAGATCTCCTCAACGCAATTGGTTCTAGGCACCGCGGCGCGGCGCGCTGGTGCGCCGACGATATTGGCGGAGCGTTGAGGGCCATCAAGCTCCTCGAGATTATCTCGAGAGCGCAGTGCGTTGCTGAGCGGGTGGCGGCGCCCTGCCTCAAACTCGCGAAGTGCAACATCGCCCCCTCGCTCGGGTGAGTTTTCGGCCAACTTGAAGCTTGAAGTCCAACGTCGCCTGGCTACTGGAGCCCCTGCGTAGCAAGACTTTTGAGCGTTGGGGGCCCTCGGGCGCCAAGGATGGTGGCTCGAGCCCGCGGCCGATCATTTTCTATTTGGCGAGTCTGCCTGGAAGGTGACAGCTCGTGGTTTAGCTCTGGTCCGCGGCTCGTCTCCTGCATCTGCGCTGGGGTATCATTGCTCTGATAGGTGTGTTTCTTGTCTACCCCACGTTGCGCAGCTGGCGCCGCTTCCCGCTGATGCTCGCCAACGTGAGCTGGGTCTCTCGGCTGCTGCGCTGCGGCTCCCTCTCGGCACCCTCCATCCGGCGCAGTTGCGGAGGTGCCGCGATGTGGGCGGTCGTCTATTGCGACGCGGCGCTCTGCAGCATCGGCAGCTCTCCTCAGAGCGCCATGCGTTACCTTTGGAGATTTTATTGCACCGCTGCATGACGGTTTTGCGTCTGAGGTAGCAGCTCATCTTTTCTCCATTTCGATGGTGAGTTTGTCGCGCGATGGCAATGTGGCGCGGTGGTCTCCCAACTTTTGGAAAGTATTCAGTTCTGCGGAAAGAATGCATGCAGTTCGAGCGTGCGTTGCGTGTCCTAGATTGATGAAGCCGTCTCTTTTTGCGTGCAGGGAGGAATGTTGTGAGGCGAAGTTTGATTGATGCAGAGACTCGCCAGACCCCCGATCTTCACCCTGATGCGCAAATCCCAGATAATGTTGCCGGCTGCGGGCCATCCACCTTGCGCTGGTGAGCTCGCTGTCGTCTCCTGCTACGATGCCCTCCCCGGCGGTTGGCAAGCTTCGCAAGTGGTGGCCGCAGTAGGAGGAATGTTTGCAGAATTTTCTAAAATTGCGCTAGCGCGCTTGTCTCGTCTGCCCGAGTCGCGGTCCTGGCCTCGTTTGCGTAGCTGGAGCAATGCCTGAATGACATCTTGGCGGGTTCTCGAGGGCAGAGGCAGACGCGGATGTATTTCTGGTTGGGTGCGAGAGGAGGATCGACTCAAGCATTGCATTGCCTGCCCCATTATATGGCGTGCCTTTTTCGGTTCGCTTTCCATGCCCCTTTGGCAGATTTCCCTGTCCATCGTCTTGACAGATTGGGGCTGCGCCCCCTGATCACGATCGTTTCTTCGGATTGTTTTGTCATCTTGGGTGCGATGTACCACGCCGTCAGGCACTTCGACGTCGATTAGCTTCTGCGAGCTCGCACAGCACATCAAGGCTTCCTAGAGAAGCCTGACCCTCCCGCGCCGCGGGCCCGCGGCCGCTGCTGCCGTCGCAGCCTGGGCGCCGAGCACAGACCTGCTGCGCCAAGGCACGGTGCGCTCCTCCTCTCCTCCTAATCCGCACTATCAGCATCAACGGCAGTATCAGCAGCATCATTATCATCACCACCATCGTCATAATCGCCAGCGGCCTCGCACACCTCTTCGTCCTCACCAACATCCTCTTCATCATCAGCATCAGCATCACCATCGCCAACACCGTCATCACCATTACCACCATCACCGTCATCATCATCATCATCATCATCATCACCATCATCATCATCATCATCATCATCATCATGTTCGTCGTCTTCAGCATCGTCGCTCGCGTCATCGTCACAGACGTCGGCTTCTTCATCAAAATCAGTATCACCGCCACCATCGACTCACGAATTGACGTCGTTGGCCGTGGGCGGATCGATTGCGGCGTGCTGTGCGTGTTCCTTCTCCGCTGTCCTCATCTTGCCGCCACCATCCGTTGTTGCTTGTTCCTCCTCCTCCTCGAACGCGGCGTTCTTCTGCAACCGCGTGGTGCGAGGAACACTGGATGTCCAACCATGCTGTTGGCCCAAGCGTGCCAGGAAAAACCGAACGACAAAGACACCGAAAACAAGGCTCCACTAGAATCAGGGAGGGGAGGCACTCTGTGACCCGCCAGTTCGTGCGCGAACCAAGCCAGGCAGGACGCGAGCTGCAGGGGCTGCAACCACGGGTCTCCAGAAGCCGATGCACGCGGTGGCGTGGCCCCGAACCGCGGGTCACCAGAAGCAAATTCGCAAGCTGGCGTGGTCCCGCCTTTCGAGCCACCAGCAGCTAGCACGGCAACGTCTGGCGTGGTTCCGCTCCTCGGGTCATTAGAAGCAGGTTGCTACTACGGCTGGTGTGGTCCCGTTCTTCGGGTCACCATATGTGGACACCTGCGATGGTGTGGTCCCGCTCTTCGGATCACCTGAAGCAGATGCGAAGGTTGACGTGGTCCCGCTGCTCGGGCCACCAGCAGCACATACGGAAGCGGCTGGCTTGGTCCCATTCTTCGGGCCACCAGAAGAAGGCTCATATACGACAGGTGTGGTTCCGCCCTTCGCGTCACCAGCTAAGGGCGTGGTCCCACTCCTCGGGTCGCCCATGGGTCTCACCGTGGGGGAGCCATGGGACACTCGACATATCTGACGCCGGGCACGCCTTCGGCGGAACCGCGTGGCGTCGAGGAGGCCAGTGAAGAGGGCGACCAACCCCATGGGGAGAACGCCACACGTACCACGGGCTTTCCGACGCCGTACTGATGATGTGATGGGGTCCCGAGTTCCTCGCGCACTTCCAGTCTGAACTCGGCGTCAAGGGCATCCCCTCCTCCTCCTCCTCCTCCTCCTCCTCCTCCTTCCTCCTCCTCCTCCTCATCCTTCTCTTCCTCCTTTCCCTTTTCCCTGCATGTTCCTCCTCCACCTCCTCTGCCTCTGCCTTCTCCTCCTCCTCCTCCTCCTCCTCTGCCTCTTCCTTCTCCTCCTCCTCCTTCCTCCTCCTGCTTCCCTCCTCATGTTCCTCATCATCATCATCCTCCTGCTCCTCTTCTTCCTCCTCTGCTTCTCCTCCTCGGCACTCGCTCTGCGGATGGTAAAGAAAAAACGGTGGCCTCCTCATGGGTCTCGTCGGCTTTCTCGCCTTCAGAAAAAAAAAGGCACCGCCTGGATCCAAAGGCAGAGTGGCGGTCGCCCGAAGTGCTTCTATAAGCACGCTGAATTCCATTTGTTCCAGGAAAGAATACTGCTCTGCGCCAGAACTCCCCGAGTTGTTGCCTGTTTGCCGTGTTCCCCTCCCCAACGGGGAGCGGAGGAGGGGCCCCGCGGCGCCCGAGAGGAGGCGAGCGGCATACACTGGACGGTGGAGATCCAGGGTGACCAGACCGAACGGGCGCTCTGCTCGGGCGTCGGCCTGTGCTGCCTGCGGGTTCCTCCCTGCTAGTGCTGCTGCTCGTCCCCTCCCCCCCCCAGGAAGTCGACAGGCTGGGGGGGTGGGGAGGAAGATGAGGACGAGGACGAGGGATGGAGGGAGGGAGGCAGGGGTATGAGGTGGAGAACTAGGAGGGTGGCAAAAGGAGGAGAGATGGAGCGAGAATGAGGATGGGGTAGACGAGGGAGGAGGGGGAGGATGAGGAGGAGGAGGAAGAGGAGGAGGAGGAGGAGGAGGAGGAGGAGGGAGGAGGAGGAGGAAGGGGAGAGGAGAAGGGGAGGAGGAGGAAATGGAGGAGGAGGTTCCACCCTCTTTCTTTCTCTTCCATCCCCCTCGTCCCAGTACTCCTAATGTTCCTCTTCCTCTATCATCCTCCATCCCTCTCACTTTTCCGCCTCCCCATCCTCATCCGCCTCCTCCTCCTCCTCATTCCACTTATTCCTTCTCCCCCTCGTCCTCTCTAGGTCTGGCCTGACCTCCTCAGGCTGTGCACAGCTGGTAGCGAACGTTACACGTGAGAACTCGCGCATGATGGTCATTGAGTGGCAAGTTTCCTTGTCGTAGCACTGTTCGCACCAGTGCGCTCATACCTTACAGCCGCACACGCATGTTTTCTATGTATATTGTTTGGCTATCCCTCCCTCTCTCGCTCGCTCTGCCTTGCCACAGTTGCTTCATACTGCGTCTGCAAGGTCGGCTGTAAGGCGGTACGGTGTCAGACACTTTATTATTGCAATGACCCGTGCACCAACACGGGCAAACGGGAAGTCAGTATTGTTGTTTTGATTCGATCTCTGGAAGCACAGGTTGGAGTCGACATTGAGGTCGGCAGCGCGCGTTTCCAAAATCCAGGGGTATGGCTATGATTTATCATACTATAGTTTGAGGTCATTGCTATGTCTTACGATGCCTGCACCCTATCCTCCTTCCCGCCTCATTCCCCCTCACACTCAGACGTCTCGCGTGGACTCAGCCGAGTCCCTCTCTCACTCGCCCGCCTTCCTCGCGCACTGCGCATCTCAGCTCAGTTCACCCATATTCAGGTCAACTCATATTCAGTTTATGCATACTCTAACCTACCCATGCTCAGTCACTCACACGTCCGACCACTCACACTTCGACTCATGCTCAGGCTCACTCACACTCAGCCTCACTCTTGCCCAGACTCACTCACACCCAGACTCGCTCACACTAAGACTCATTCATACTGAGACCCCTGCACACACTCAGACGCATCCAGACTCAGACTCACTCACAGCCATACTGACTCGCACAGGCCGAATCACACTTATTCTCTCATGCGCAGGCTACTCAACGTCAAGACTGAGTCATGCCCTGGGACCCCATAACACGCAGTGTAGCAGGCGTGGCACGCGTGTGCTCCACGGAGGAGCCGCCAAAATGCGATTAAGAAAACCAGCGGAGCGACGTCTTGTCCATGTCCGATGAGACCTCACCGTTTCTGGATGCTGCTAGCTGCGACATTGCCCCATTGGTGTGGGCTCCTGGAAGATCTCACGGAGTGACGCACCAGACCTCGCCGCCCCATGATACCGCTAGCTGCGACAGTGTCCTTTTGCCTCCCGAGCCTGAGGCAGAACTGCATCACTCCCACCCTAGTTTTTTTTATCGGCGCCTTGTGTGGCGTGCAACGCGCGGGCCTCTCATGATTCACAACGGATCGCAGTCCTTGCTGTATCACCACACGTGATTCGTCTGCCCATCTGATTGGCCATTGGTTGCAGATGGTTTGGGTACGTCGTCAGGGTAGTTATTCAAGTGGTTGACGCAGTTTCGCCGATCCGCAGAAGAGGGACGACGTCGACGGGTGAGGCTTTTTGGGTTCATCGCGCAGCTGGCGACAGTGGGCTGGTGTTTAGAGATGTGAGGTTTGCCTGAAGGGCAAACACTATGTGTCCCTGCCTGCTCCTGGGCGGTGCCCAGGTACCAGCACGCTTCATGCCAGCAGACTGTATGTTTTAGGGCACCGCGTCATCGCCTTCGATTGCGACGACGACAGCGTCCTCTTTATGTGTGTGAAGTGCTACTGCCATTCCAGCGGTGCCTGTGTCCGAGGACTTGCGTCCCCTTGCTCTGCGCTCACGAGGGCGGCAAGGAAAGGCTTGCTCACCCTGTGAAAGCACTGCACTCACCCCCATTACAGCACGAAGGGGGTAAAGGTGAACACCGACGGTTTGATTTGGTGTTTCAATTCTTGATTTTGTTTGGTCGAGTTGGCGTCTCCCGCCGCCGCCTGTTGCAGAGCCTTTGGTGGAGCAGGGCCGTAGAGTCCCTCCAACAAAAAACCTCTTTGGGCCTCTTGGGTCTTTTGGGCCTCTTCGGGCCTCTTGGCAGTTTCTTGGGCGCCTGCTGGCGATGTCGGGGGTCCTGTTGGGGCGGACGGCTAGGAATGTCAGTTCAATCTGATTTTATTGAGCCCCTCTTGGAGCCTTGGTGGGGCTCTCTTGGGCCATCTTGGGCGTTTCTTGGGCCGTCTTGGTGCCATTTTCGGCCGGCCTGGGGTCCTCTTAGGGGCTTTTTGGGCAGTCTTGGAGCGATCTTGGGGGCCTCTTGAGCCATCTTGGACGCTGTTCATGAACAACTGTGAAAATGCTCAAAATATACGCTGCCCCCCCGGTTTGGACAATTTTTGTTTCTTGGGGCCCTCTCGGGGGTCGTCTTGGAGCCTCCATGGAGCGTCTTTGAGGCTTCTTGGTCAGTCGTGAAGCCATTTTGGCAGCCTTCGAGGACTCCTCGGCGTGTTGGCGCCAAGCATGAGCCAGCTTAGATGGCATCTAGGACATCCTGGAGGCCACAGAGCGTAGAGTCTGTGGCTCCAGAGGCCCCAGGGGTGCGTTGGCGAGCTCGCCCCCTGGCCTCCTCCCCCCTGGGCCTGGCAAGAGGACACATTCCAAGCAACTAGAAGAGATTCCAACCGTTTTGGTACTAAACCCATGCAGTCTGGAACTAGTTCCAACCAGCCTAGATGACAAGCCTTTGCTGCGAGGCGTCTTATAGGCGTTTCAGCGAGGTTCTTCACAGGCGTCTTGCTACAGGCGTCTCGCCGAGGCGTGCCTGCGAGGCGTCTTACGGGCGCCTCTGTAGGCGTCCTGCAGGCGTCTTGCAGGCGCGCGCCTCTGCGAGGCGTCATATAAGCCTCTCTGGGAGGCGTCTTCCAGGCGCCTCTGCGAGGCGTCGTACAGACGTTTCTGCGAGGCGTCATCTGCGATGCATCTTGCAGGCGCCTCTGCGAGGCCGCTAACAGGGGCCTCTGCGAGGCGTCTTGCAGGCGTCTCTGCGAGGCGACTTCCAGGTGCCTCTGCGAGGCGCTTTACACTCGCCACTGCGAGGCTTCTTGCATGCGTCTCCTAGGAGCCTCGGCGAGGAGTCTTTTAGGCGCCTGTGCAAGGCGTCTTCCAGGCGCCTCTGCGAGGCGCTTTACAGTCGCCACTGCCTAGCGTCTTGCAGGCGTCTTACAGTTGCCACTGCGAGGCGTCTGACAGGCGTCTCCGAGGAGTCTTACAGACGCCTCGGCGAGGCGTCTTACAGGCACCTTTGCGAGGCGCCTCGCCGACGCGTGTCTGCGAGGCGTCTGACAGGCGCCTCTGCGAGGCGTCCTGCAGGCGTCTTGCAGGTGCCTCTGCGGGGCGTCTTACAGGCGCTTGTGCGAGGCGTCTGTGCGACGCGTCTTACAATGTCCCACAGGCGCCTCCGCGAGGCCGTTTCTGCGAGGCGTATGGCAGGCTGCGAGGCGTTTGCGGGGCGTCACCCAGGCGCTTCTGCGAGGCGTCTTCGAGTCACAGGCGTTGTGTACGCGCACATCCCGCAACGCTGGGCTCAGGGATGCCGCGTGCGAGATTCCTTTCGCTTCGCGGGTTGCACGTCCGGACCGCGTGCATTCCAGTCGTTGTGGGGCTCCTGAGGGCATGTTTGGGGCCTAATGGGGGCTTCTTGGAGGAGGGAGTCATCGGCTTGCGCCGCAGTGTCGAAGCGAGGGCTCGGCGGACAGTGTTGTCCGCACGGACTCTGCGTTGCACAGCCTCCTCCTCCTCCTCGTCCTCCTCCCCCTCCTCATTCCTCCGCCTCTTCTTCATTCCACAGTTCCTTTTGTCATCAGCCTCGTCCTTTTCCTCCTCATTTCTCGGCTTCCTCCTCGTTCATCAGCCGCGTCCCCGATTCCTCAGGCTCGTCCGGATTCCACAGCCTCTTCCTCTTTCTCTGCCCTTTTCTCAGTCCTCACCCCGTTTCTTCGTTCGTCTGCCTCCTCATTCCTCCTCATTCCTCGGCCTCTTCCTCATGTCCTGATGCAGGGATGAGCATGCAAAGGATTCGAAGGGAATGGGGGGGAGAGGTTGCGAATGGTGCTGACGCCTGACCGTTGGTCGCATCGTGGGTTGGTAACTGTGCAGTCGTTTGGGCGCTGGCCACACCGCTGATTGCGAACGGTGCTCTCGCCTCTGCATCGGCCACACCTTCATGCTGAGGCACTTTTGTTTCCATCATTGAGGGGGTGTCCTGTTTGTCCGGGGATTATATTTTCCGCTTCGCAATATAATATGTAGTCTTTTTTACGATCGAAACGGGTAAGGAAAGAATGGGCACGAGGACCGACATTTTGTCTGTTTCATTTACAAGATTCGTTGTCGGTGTCGCTGCGGACATTGTCCATTTGAGAATGAAGGCCGCTTACCTGATAGCGGCCGCTGTCTGTTTTGGCCATCAGAATTGTTGTGTATCGTGCCACTATTTCCCGTACCTGTTCCGGGCGTTCAAAAGTAAGTACGCATCAACACTGCCATCCACATCCACATCTTGAGTCCCATGTCGTCGCAAATCGTTTTGGCGCCAGTTCCCGGACACACATGAGCCTGCCATTGGGTTTTGTTGGGGTACAGTGGGATCGCTTCACCAAAGTCAGAATCATATGGTGTGGCTACTTGGCCAGTTGGCATTCGTACCAA